ACCACCTCCTGTCTGTTTTTTATCTGACTTCATGGAAAGAAGGCTTATAAAATTCCATCTACTAAATTTCCCTCTTAATGTCTAATCTATGTTTATGGTGGGGAAATGGCCACAGGTTAAGTTAGACCCATGTAGGCTTCCTAGAACTAGTGGAAGAGTAATAGGTTCAAGTTTCTTGATACATCTGTGGTGTATTAGAAAGAGTATAAAATTTTGAGTCAGATTTAGATCTTAGCTTATCACTTAATTCTTATGTCACCTTTGGCTTTAGGCTCATTTTTTTCCAAGTCTAAAATGGGTATAACATTTTCTTTTTAATTATTGTGAAAATCAGATGAATCCTTTATAAAAGCATTTTGTAAACTGTCAAGTGTATGTTAGTTACTACTATTAATACATGGAAAAAATTTCCTTTGATTTTATTGGTGAGCAGAAATTTATTGGTGTTATGGTTCCCTCCTGTAGGTATAAGAAGAGTACGAGGCAAGGATGAGTTACACAGTCCTCAGCCATGTTATGTCAACTTGCCTGACTTCTAAAGCAAGTCCATGAATTCAAGCCTTAAAGGTCTAGGAAAGCTTCACTGGTTAGTCTCAGCGTTCCTATTTGTTTTTCATGATTTCCATTTAACTGAGCTAAAATACACACATCCTGTAATATTCGTAAAAAGAGTATGAACTGAGATAACTTTAGGCCCATACTGTTTCTGGGAACAGAGTAACAACAAACCAAACAGAAGTGGACTATACTATGGAATTCTAAGTACTAACTCACTTTTTCATGTTGAACATGACCTCCCTTCTTCTTTCCTGAGAGGAGATCTAAAGAGTCTCTTTGAGCTTCTAAACCAATGAGTGGCAGGAATCTTAGACTAGTGGGGCTTGGCACCTGGAAGCCATAAATAAAGAGTCCATCAGACATACTTAAAATGATTACTTCTCTGATGTGAATTTGGGGTATAGGAGGGCTTGAGAAGGCCCACCTGTTTCAAAATACACTCCTCACACACATGGTTGCCCACAAATTAATCTTGATAATTCACTCTTGGCACTCCTTTCATCTGCTGGCTTAAGTGTTTGATACCTATTACAATTAACATGTTCTTGGGAAGAATAAGCAACACTTTAAGATACAACAAGTGAGGATTAAGTTGAAATATTGTATCTAATAGCTTATCATTTCTTT